GATAGAAAGCTTCCATTCGAGCACTCGTTTACAAGAGTATAATAATTTCTCTTCGAAGTTTTCGTCCGAATTTCTTCCTCCTCTTTCTTGTTTCAACATTAAAAGGAAAGACTTTCTCGCGAAGTTGTTCATCGAACAAGCAAATTTCAAACTCGAATCGAGCGATTGAAGTACAAAAAGTATTTCTAAAAGTCATCGTTCCATCGTTACACGTTTCGTTCTCGAAAGGGGTTTGATCACAGGGATTCGAGGGCATGATTATATATATATATAATCGATTCGTGTGTGGAAAACTGTGATGAAAAGAAGAAGAAAAAAAAAAGGAAGGAAGGGAGAGAAGAAAAATGATGAAAGATCGAAGCTCATGCAATATGCATAGAATCTACAACACTGGCAAAAGCCAGGATTATCGTTAATCTCCGGATACCAATTACAATACACGTTATCGGCGTCGTGAGAAGATTTTTTTTCTTTAAATTGATCGATGATGAAATTGGTTTTTCGAATTTTGTCGAGATGTTTTTGTGTAAGATGTACGATCCTTTACGAGTGTACACGTATATTTGGATGGAGGAAAGTAGAAAATGTTTGAATGAAAAAAAAAATTTAAATAACGATTCTGAAGGCTGAAGTAAATTCGATATGCAAAAATGTTTATAATTTGAGTTTGAGTTATTACACGCCTGTATAATAGCACTGGTCGATGTATACATATGATTAAATGGCAAGATAGGGAATAATTATTCTCGTAAAAAAGAACAAAAAAAAAAAATGTACAGTCCATTGTGATTCATCGAAACAAATTGTATTACATATGAAAATTACGAGGAAAAGGAACAAGAAAATAAATAAGTTACACGAATAATAATAATGTACAATATGACGAATTTAAGCAATTTGTCACGTAAAAATTATCCAACGAGGTATTAAAAACACATTATAATTACACATGCACTTTTGCATTTGTAATTTATGTACATATATTATCTATTATACATACATATATATATATATATATGTATATACAAAAAGAATTACTTTACATATTTATTTGCATATTCCTCCTCCAAGTTCGCGTATGATATGAATTCGTAATTCAATAAATCGCAATTCATTGGAAATTTTACAATAATAATAAAACTATATTGCTTAAAATCCTCTTACCTAAATATTTTGAAAACCCAATCAATTACGATTCTCTCTCAATTACTTGTCCCAGAGATAATCTTCGCCGCCAATCGAAATTGTTTCTTACTTCTTATTCTCGAGTATAATATTCGCGATACTCGAATAATCATTGAAATCTTGGGAAATCCTTCCGTGAATATGTAAATCTCTTCGGATAATACAAAAAGAAAGAAATTGATGGCAGAAACGTTCTCCCCTTCTCTCCTCCTTCCCCCTCCCCTTTCTCTTTCCGTTCACGGTAACATTCGATAAACATTCGAGACGATTCGATTTTAATACTACGATTTGTAAATCGAGGATATCGATCGACAATGAAAGTTTCATGAGCCGCGCGAATTTGTATCGGGAGATCGTCTCGAACGAGAGAGAAGGTGGACGGAAGGGGATGAAAGGAGGAGATCGGACCGGATCTCAAAGGATTGCCTTTTACGCAATGTTATTTCGGCTTGTCACGGCCCATTATATTCGTCTCGTTGAATACGCTTCCAGTCGAGGGTCGGAATCGCGCGAGTTATCGATGTATTCAAAGCGAGCGTCTCTCTCTTTTTCCTTTCTTTTTTTCCCCCCCCGCTATAATGTTTCTCCGCTACACGGCGACGCGGCGGTCGAGCGAAATGATTTGAAAAGCTGGATGAAAGCTTCAATTAAATTTGCAAGCGATCGCCATTTGCGACGGAACCGCAACGTTTGGCCAACCGTGGCAAACGAATGGCCGAAAGAGAAATGTTACAGAGGAGAGATCCGGCCGCGTAACAATTCCACCGATCCTCCCTCTACGTTCTTTTTATACGGCGAATAATTAATCTGAAATTCCGCTTCTTTGTTGGCCAGAGCAGAGGCTTCTGTTCGAGTTATCGAAATGCGAAGGGATAGCAAGTTTTGTCGGGTTTTCGTATCGAGGATTAAATTTGTGGTGGTCGACAGTTCGAGGTGTGGTATGCGATTTATGGCGTGCTTCTATCTTTTTTAGTTCTATGAAAAATAAAAATTTAAAATCCTCGGAAAATTGTTAAAATTGCTTTCTATAATAATAATAACAACTTTAATACCATTTTCAATTGCCTTTCTCGTTCCATTTTGCAATCCAGGCAATTGGAGGCAGATGTAAAATATATTAATGAATTTCCGCGTGCAACGAAACGATTTTTTCAAAAATTGTATTACATCCGATGTAACAAGTATATAACAATTGGCCATTGAGGAAATTAATGGGTCATACACTTGTCATGAAATTTTTTAATCATCAAAGTTATTCCACGCCCCGGATATAATACCAGTTGGAATTTTCGCTAGGAATTTCTATAGTGCTGGATCGATCGAGTTTCTTCGTAATTTCCTCGAAACTTGCACAGGAGGCCTCCTAGGTAGTATAATAACCTTAACTTTAAACAGTTATTAACGATCGATGAAACGTTGCAAGAAGAAAATTAAACTTTCCTTCTCGCTTCCACTTTGTCTTGTCAAAAAATTTTTCCCAACAAAGCCTCGCCTCGCCGCACAATTACTTTGCGGATCGTTCATAAATCGGGCAAGTGCATCGATCTCGAGCAAGCAGGTTTTCTTCCCTCGTTACGGCTCGTCGAGGTTGCACGAGAAAGAGAGAGAGAGAGAGAAAAAAAAAAAGAAAAAAAAAGAAAAGGAAAAGCGCGCACTTGTCTCGCGCGAGCTTATCGCCTCGTCTCGTATAGAGAGGTGCGGCGCTCTCGATATCGTCGTCGGAACCGTGGATCATAGAAGGAAGCAATCCCCCCGTGAAAAATTCCTGCGAAATGGTGTAAAATCCCGTTAAAACGATTTTCGGTCGATCAGGTATTTAAAAGAGGAGGAAAAGTACGACGGGTGCATCGATCGATGCAAGTCCATCGAGGCAAGTAAATAATAGCGACGAGACCCGGTGTCGGTCGATCGATCGATCGATCATCGAGCCAACTTCTTTTGGGAAGCAAAAGGTTTTCCATGAAAATTTAATTTAAATGGATCGAAATATATATATACTCTTATTCTCCGTATAAAATTTATTGAACCTCTTTTGCTCAAAAATTCCGATAAATTGAGATCCAAGATTCGAATTACCGAGATTCTACAAGATTGTATTAAGAAAATTCTGCTCAGGAAGGAAAAGGAAGAGAAATTTTGAATTTTTATGAATGAATGAAAGCTTTCAGAGCGATCAAGAGAAGCAGAGAAGAAAGAAACGTCACGGAGTGGAGAAAAATTTTCATTGGCCTCGGTTGATCGAAATCACGAGATAAATTTGCACGCGCCCTCTACCCTGATGGAACTCGGTTCTCGAGAAGCGTCGAGCCGCCGCATTTAACTCGAGTTCTGCCAATTGTTCGTCTCGTGACTACTGATTCTCGTAATCGATCAGCTTCCGTGAACCCAAGAGACACGTGCTCTCTCTCTCTCTCCCCTCCCCACCCCCACCCTACGTAAGTAAGTAGTTTCTTCTGTCGGCGAATTAATCGCCGCTAGTCGACACGCTCGATAACGAGCCCGTCGTCTGAATTGAGATCGTTAAGTCCGTTTGACCATGCTTCTCGCGGAAACGGCAGGAAAAAAAAATTCTCTTCAATTGAAGAATCTCATTGCTCGGTTTAAATCCACTTTTTGCGAAAGCTTGACTCATCGTCGTCTCTTACGATGCTAATTCTAATTTTTAACTTAGAAAAAAATTATATGTGTGTTTTATATGTACGATTTTTATCCTATTGTTTTGAGAGAAAATTTATAAAGTAAAATAATATGGTAAAATTATTCCCTTTATTCATAATTGTATTATAATATTAATCCTTTACAATTTTAAAAACATTTAAATAAAATTACATTTACCTGAACGATATTATCGATTTTTAAAATTCTTCAATTACAATTTCAGAAACCGTATGATCACGCTTCAACATCGTTCCCCCATGACCTTTAATACCATTGATAACGATAATGGAATATTTTTTAATTAATTCTATAATAATTCTATTACACTATGCTCGTATGTCAATGATATCCAAAAAGAGAAAAAAATCTAGGAATAAACAACGGCTGGGCAAAGAAAATTCTTCTTGTCTGTGATTTATCGTCGCTGATAAATTAGAACAGTGTCTCGCAAGTTCTCGGTTAATCAGGCATTACGAAATAAGCGATAATCGCGATGGACCAACTCTTACGTGCCTTTATTCACGAAAATCTTGTTAGAAACTTGTCATCGTCACTGTTCTCGGAATAACAGAAATTTATCTCGCTTTCTTGCCGTCATCTCTTGCCGCTTCCGCAAAAAAAGACGTCGATCCACCGACGTTCGTGGAAATTGACAGTGGAAAAATATCGTTCCCTCTTCGTTGCTCTTCTCTCTCTCTTTCTCTCTCTCTCTTTCTCTCTTTTTCTTCTTTGCAAATCACAGTCTCCCCGTTTCGATGAAGAGCAAGGATTGAAACTTCTTTCGACTTTTGTGGCCGCTTCAAGTTTAATCCTTCGAGACTTTTCTTGACTTAAGATGGAGATTAGATTTTTATTCTTAAAATTAATCGTTAATTAATTCGATGTATCGATTACATGATAATAATTTTAAAGATTATATAAGATCGTTTCATTTACGATTTTAAAATTTGATTTCCAATTACTGATATTTAAATTTATTCCAGCAAAGATGCGAGACCAATCAAAAAATGAGGAAAAAATATAAAGTCAAATAAGTTATAAACAGTAAATTAAATAGTTAAATTTAATTTCAATTTAAACTTAGGTAATAGATTTGAAATTAATTTTATCCTGTCATTTTCATGAATCAACATCAAATGGAATAATTTCATTCATACCAATCCAGAGTTTGATTATTCGTCGAGTTCCAAATGTTTCGTTCCACGATTCCCGCCTGTCTTCTCGTCCAGTCTCAATGTACACTTAAAGTTTTACGCGAGTCATACCGCGCTCCTGAATCTTTAAACTTGATTTTCACGGGCGGAAAACAGGATTGGATATCCACTTTCAAGGAAACTCGTCTTGCACCGCCATTTTCCCTGAAAAGGATTAAGATACTTTTGATTTCGAACGTACTCTCAAAAGCAGTGGATTATACAAAAAAAGTCAGAGAAATATAATCTATACGAATGAAGTCAGACTTTATTTCCGATATAATAAAAATATGCTGAAAATTTGAACTTAAAATTTAAATTTTAATTAAACCGATAAATACCCCTTCGACTTCATTAGAAAGAAAAGAAATATTATTCAAAAGTTCAAAAATTATAGATTTTTGATCGTCGAATATATATATATATGTTTTCTGTAAAAAAATTTTAAAAATACAATAATTTTTTTAATTTTTGCACACGTCATTCATTACCTATACACAGTCATTTTAAATTTCGTTATTTTCCAATCGTTTTTATTTTACATTGCCAAAGATTCTCTTCGATTTTTAAATTTTTCATTCTAATCAATACAAGATAGAAAATATCAGAAGCTAAATTGATTGCACCGTATGAGGAAGAATTTCATTTGGTTTCTTCGAACGTAAGAGCTTTTTACAAGGACAAAAGTTTCGGTCGAGATTCTACGCAGAAGAAAGAAGCGTCGAAGGGCGGGAATAGAAAAGCGTATAAAAGGAAAAGGCTAGAGTTGTTCCGAGAGTGCACGCCGCGATGAATTCTTCCCTATTGGCTAAAAACACCCGACGAATCTTTCGTTCGTCGTCGTGTTTTCTTTGCGTTGTGTGTCCGCCATTGTTCCACGATACACATATTGAGTAACACGTGGCAACAACAAAGACTTCTGAAATAAAAATATAAAGGAAATTATGAAAGGAAGAACGTTTCTATGTCCCACGTGTCTCTCTATTTGATCGTTTATACGCGGTAATTAAGTATTATTCTTCCTTAAGAGAAAATATGCATAAATTTGTTTGTCATGAATAATTGGTAACATCTGTGATGTGATAAATATTAATTGAAGATCGGTTTTAACTTTGACTCATATGTAATTACATCTGCAACGATGTTGCAAAAATATATTTTTTCGAGAAAGAATCGTTTGACGAATTAAGTAATTAACGTTGTAAGTGGACTTTCTCTTTTCAAAAAATTGAAATTTACTTTTATGAATAGAAGAAGAACACCTAAAATGAGGTTGATACAATTTTAGTATTTAATATTTGATGTATAATCTATAGAGTAAAATATATTTTTCCAGAGCAGAAATTTATTTAATAAATTTTATATTGAAAATTAATTAGTTAAAAAAAAAAATATCGTTTTTAATATATGATATTTGAGAATGAATATATCTTCATTCAAATTCATTCAAATATCACAAGTGCATTTCAAATGCATTTTGAAAAGTGCATATTTGTTTTTGATTCGTATCGTAACTATAATTTTTTTAATTATATTCAAGTTTTTTCTTTATCTTGAAAATTGTATAATATTGCAAATTTATATTTTTACTATAATTACTACTGCTTACTAATACTTTGAGCATTTATGAGTCACGTAGTCATGTGTTTTCATGTGAATGCATATCGCGTTAAGAGCAATACTTGATGACCTATTGATAGGTCACGCCTATCAATTTGACCTAATTTTTTTCAATTTTTGACAATGAATAACAAACATACCTTAACGCTTGATCAAAAGTGTAATAAATAGAGTATCTCTATCTAGAACGTTCTAGAAACTATCACTCACGTCTCCATCAATGGAAATCATGCGCCTTGAGGGACGCAATCGATAAAAACCTCGCAAAATTAATTACACAAATTTTTTTTTTCCAACTATATAAGAAAACTCAGAAGAATACTGTAAACCTTCCTCAAGTTACTTTTAAATTTGTTTTAATTTGTTAATTTAAGTTAAGATAAAAGTTTCACGGATAACCTAAAACTCATTATTTCCACGACTAATTTCTTTTTATACTACTCTCTTAAAAAATTTTTAAAAACTCGTAAAAGATAAGTTCCAGAAAATTACGCTTTTACAATTTTATCTTTCATTTCATTTTTATATACTTTTCGTATTTTCGTAAAAAAGTTTTAACAACTCGAAAGATAACTCGTGTAATTGAAATAAACTCAAAATAATAAATCAAATCGCAACATTATTATACACAGTCACAAGTGTTCATCGGCAAAGAGAAAAACCTCTCAAGAACGAAATTCTCCTTCGAGCATAACCTAGTACATAACCTAGCACAGAATTGAGGTTAGGAGCGAGGTATCGAGCTTTTTTCCACGGGAATTTCCACGAGTCGGATCTAGCGTCACGGATCTAAGTAGAAGGCAGTCGCCTGATGCTCGTATAGACCACGATTCCCTTGATATACCTACCTAGACGAGGACGAGGCGAACGAAATTGACTGCGGCGCCGTGTGTTTCACGGTGGCTGCTCCACTCGGCTTGGCCGCACAAGTAGCTCGTTCCTTTCCCTTGTGATTTCACGGGGACGCGTCGACGAGCAGCATCGCGGTTTCAAGGTGAACCGATTAAAGCCGAGGAGATCTTTTCATCTTTTAGAGTAGGTTTTATTGGAGTAGGTATCATTGAAGATTTGTGAAGGATGAGGAGGGATAAGAGTTCGGAGGAGAGGAGAGAATGTTGGTTGTTATTGGCTTCTCGTATTTTATTGTGATCTCATTCGAAGTGATCTAATCTAAAAAATTATGAACAGGGCGTTTCTCTTCGAAATAAGTTGGAATTATATTACTTTTGATATCATTTTGATGTTATTTTCGAAAAATATATATATATATTGGGAATTAAATTCGGTGAAGAGGGAGGATATTGTTCCAATACAGTTATCTTTTTATAAATAAAATTATCTTCTCTACACGAAAAAAAGTAATCGAAGAGCTTATTGCATAGATAATCTTGTGACAGCATGATTTTTTGGATTTTTCCAGGTCATTGCAAAAATATTTTTGAAAAATGCCGATTAAAATCTTAAAAATTCATCAAAAAAAGGAAAATCGCCTTTCGATCGATAAATCAACGGGCTTGGCTAAGTTAAACGAACAATAAGAACAAAAAAGAGGAGATCAAAAGTTTCGTAATCAAATGAAGTTGGATACCTCCGGGTTAAAATTTTAAAAAAATTGCAGAGTTTGATGAAAATCTAGTATCGAGAAAATAATACGACAAAGAACAAAGAAAATAAAGAATAAGAAGAAAAAGAAAAATGTAATTTTTTTAAAATCCTGAATTAAAAAAAAAAAAAGAATTGCAGAGTTACTGACCTAAGTTAATAAAATAATATTACTATTATATATGGTGTTCTTTGTTCGTTTATACGTAATTGGATGATGATTCGTCGATCGCTGGTGTGTATTAATTGTCAAGAGCGAATATGTTCCGATAGGCACGCAGAAAACAAGTGGATCATGTGTCACATGACACATGAGGCTGACGTATCAGCTGAACTGGAGCAGATGAATCCGGTTGCGTTATATGCACGCTTCTATCGTTATTTACATAATTCGTAACGTTTCGGCGAGATTCATAGAATACGCACGAGGGGGTGGATCAGAATCGATCTAGAATCCGCAGAAATCGAACGACACTTCCGATAACCCTGCATGATTCTTTTAAAACAACCGATACTCGGCACGTTATTCGCGATAAAAAAAAAAAAAGGAATGTAAAAATAAAATGATAGGAAAATGATAGTGAAAATAAATAAATAATCGAGAGATATAAATAAATATTTTTTCGTCGTGGATAATATAATAGAAAATTATAACGAAAACATCGTCGAATAAATTTAAAATTTCTCAAAATTCAGTATCGAAAAAGTTAACAAAATAATTCGAAAGATTCAATTATCCGAAATTGCTGGCGAAAAAAAAAAATTAATCAGAAAAGAAGATAACGATTCTTTCTCTCTCTCTCTCTTTTTCTCCGTCTTAAAAAATTCACGTGCCCTCTTCCAATCAACCACAAAAGGAAGTCCCCAAACCCCACCGAAATTCACCAATTCTAAATAATTTCCACAAACGATCCTCAGAGTCGATCGGGTTTTCAAAGACCGGCGAACAGTCAGCGGTGGACTCAATAAAGAAATTCGTACCGTCTCGTTCATTTCAAACGGAGAAACAACTCCGGTTAAAGAATACCCGACCCGCATACGAAATATTCCCGCGGGGTACGAAGCGGTCGACCGTTCGATTGCGACCCGGTGAAATGGGTTAAACGTGGCACGATAAATAGCCTCCAATTGATTTCGCATTGTAACCTCGCGGAAACGAGGATAGGACGCTCTCCCTGGTACGCAGGTATTTGGAGTGGAATATTTCCTAATTCCTATTTTTCGAAAATCAACCGAACGAGACAATGGAGAGGAGTCGTGACCCGGTCGACGTTGTGTAACCCACACGACTCGAATTCAAATCGTTTTTCGAAGCATTGCGAAATATAGCATGTTCGATGGCGTTAACGAAGAAATTGTTCTCGTTTTCCTGTCGAGGAAGCTTTTTCTCCCTCTCCCTCGATAACGATCGATTGAGATTGAAATTCTTTTTAGGGGAATAAAAGTAACCATAACGTGAAGAAAGGATGGAAAAATCTCTGACTCGGAATGGGAAAGTGGGTTAAGTTAGGAAAAGCGATTTTTCAAAAGAGATATAAAATTTTTTTTCCTGGATATAAGATCTTTTCTTCCATTTTCCTCTCTCTCTCTCTCTTTCTCTTTTGATTCTTTTATGCTCGGTTCCGATGTTCTTTCGCGAGAGATGAACTTTTTTACGAGAATTTTTTTTTGATCTTGAATGATCGTCTTGACTTAGCTCTCTGCTGATTCATTGGATTAAAGTTTTTAATTCTACTTATACCGTTACGATTTCATCTTCCCACATTTGCAAATTCATGAACTCGATAACAGTGTCTGTTTTTTCACTTTCTTTTCTGTCTTCTTATAACATTATATTTCGTTAAAGATATCATTAACTTTGTAACATCTCTTTTTAATATCTGATTCGAAAGATTTTTTTTTTTTTTTTATGCTTTTGCGAAAAGTTTGGCCCTTCAAATTTTATTTTTCGATTCTAATGTTGCCTTTAAAAATCTAGCTTTTATTCCGTTTGAAAATATAATAAATGATAATTCCCTCAAATTCCAAACAAAATACGATCTATCATATGTACTCAGCTACACGAAATTTTAAACAAACAAGTTCGCATCGCAACCTTCCTCTTCTCAAACACGAAGATCCGAGTAATACCGAGTGCTCACGTGTTGCCAATAAAATCACTGATCACGTTATATCACAAACATTGAACAATCGATTTAAACGGAATTATGCGTGATTATTATCAAATTCATACGTTCATACAATATGCAAATACATGTGTTTTTCAAGTTTCCACAAACACGAGGCCTAACGTGTCATCACGATAAACAATAGAGCAAGAAGATAAGAAAAAAGCTTTTAACCAGTGACTTACCGCCACTAGTCCCTTCCACTTACCTATCCCTCCCTTCTCACCGTTTCGAGGAAGATAGTGAGACGAGTCGATGCTCGTCGCTCTATCGCCGCGAATATCTCCATCTCTCTCCATGTGCCGAACATAATAACGTGAAGTGGTTTACGGATTGCGTTCAGTCACAGTACGCGCCGTCTTCCGATCGCATCGATCTCCCATCGTACATATATATGTATATACACACATATATGTATATACACACCCGGTGAAAATAAACACGCATCGAAACTTCGAAGCGTTGGAAAAAAAAAAAATCTAACGTCTCTCGTAACGTCGCGACCATCGTTCGCCAACAGGGACGCACAAAACGCGCGCTCGAGACACGAATCGAGGCACGCGTGCGAAAGCAATCACGAACGTCTGTCTATTTGCACAGAAGCGAGACGGAAAGGATAGAAAGTAGCGAAACGCGACATCTGTAAACATAGATCGACTAACCTCTTACTCGTGATCGTTCCGCGGTTAGATTCAAACACGAGGCCGTTAAGGATAAACGAGTACCACGTCGGTAATATCGTTACGCTCTTGTTTTTCGAAAGCAGACAGTACTCGAGGGTGAAGGAAGAGACGGAATCCCAAGAGAGCCCGGGATGACGATCAAACCGTCGTCCATGGTGACCGACTATCTGGTCTTCGTCGGTTGCATCGTTGCCTCGTTCGTGATACCGTTATGGGGGAAGTTTCGTGGCAGGCGGAAGGAGACGACCAAGGCCGATTACGTGTTCGCAACGGGTACCGTATCTATGGGCGCCATGATGCTGTCAATCGCGCGTGGCACGCTTGGCGTCAGATCCTTTCTAGGTTATCCGTCGGAGCTGTACTATAGAGGGAGCGCCATGTGGGAGGTCATCTACGGTATGATGCTCGCGTATCCCATCGTGTGCTTCATCTTCGTCCCGGTTTACTACAGCCTCGGGATCACGTCCGTCTATCAGTATCTAGATATGAGGTAATTATCTACGAGAGTCGTGTTTCCATCGGACCCGCGATCATCATTTCGCGGGAATAACGTTGAGAAATAACGCTCGCGCGGGAATTGGATCCGCATCCTTGAAAATTCGCTCGTGGGAACAGGCGAATCTCTTCTTTCCTGTTTTTCTTTTTTCTTTTTTTTTTAAATATATATAGGGCGTTTCATCCGAATCGTTGAAATTAAATTAAATTGTACTTCCATCTTTGAAACTTTCTATATTTTGAAATACGCGATTTTAAGGTTTATTCTTTGAAAAAATAGAATAATTACAATTTAATGATTAACTATATATATATAGGTATAACTATTCAAAGAAAGAAACTTGATCTTCCATACTTACAAAAAATTACTCAACGTTTTCAGTATAATGAACAATTTCGAAATTATTTCGGCCATTATTTCAATTATTTCTAACCTCTGATGAAATACGTTGAGAGGAAAATTTGCCGCCAACCGGAAGTTTTTTTAAACACATCACGTTTTTTTTTTTTGTATGAACACAACAATTAAATAATGGAAGGCACAATGTAAAGTTAATAGACTAGATCATTCGAGATATCTTCCCAGAAATAATTCGCCTCGAAATCACGCGGACACACGTGACGGATCACGGGGAAAATTTGAATTCACCTTGTACACGATATGCTCTCGAGCAACTCGATATCGTCGTTTGCTTGCCTGGAACCAGGCTATTTTACATTTTCAATTTACGTGGTACCAACCACCGTATAAATCCGCCTCCTATTTTTTCTTTCTTTTTTTTTTTTTTTTTTTTTTTCCTTTTTTTTTCCCCCTTGCTAAAAATTCTTATCCGTCTAGATAGACTTTCTCTCGAATGGAAAACGATCGTTTCGAAAAAGTTTTAGAGTTGAATTTTTTCCCATGAACCTTGAGACGATATTCCCGCTTAACGATTATGTCCGGCTGTAATATACAAGCGGAGAATAGACCTCTCGTAATTATGCTAATTTCCCAGGTTCAAGTCGAAGCTAGTCAGATGCCTCGCAAGCTTCTCCTACGTGATACGAAGCCTGCTGAACTTGGCCGTCACGATATTCACGCCTTGCGTAGCTCTTAAGGCTGTGATTGGCTTGCCTTACTGGACCAGTATAGTTGGTATTACATCTATATCTGTCGTCTTTTCAATTATGGTGAGTGTAATTTTCAACGGTAATGTAATTTGTGAATGTAATTTGAAAAGAAAATTATCGAGAATTGCTTGCTCTTGAAATGAACGCGATATTGGATTATTTCTAATGTAATTTAATGGAAAATTTTTATTTATTTTTTTTTTTTTCTAAATAATTCTTGAAAATTTTATTCTCGAATGTATACCCAATCCAACAGTGTAATTTTCAATTTAAAGATGTGAATATAACTTGAGACAATTATTCCCGGATAATTAATTTCGGTGCATTAGCGAGAAATAATTTTTTAAAGCAAACTCTAGAGAGTTTTATTCTCAAATGTATTCACGGTTTAACCTGGTTTTTTATATCAATTTTTGGGGCAAAAAAAAAAAAAAAAAATGTTGAAACTCGCTAATCGTATTTATTTAGAATCGGAAATAATCGTGAAATCGAAAGTTAGTCTAAATCAATTGATTAATACATTTAATGCGAATGACGTGAACGTACGCGCCATGGGAATTTCCATGGCAGGTGATCGCGTCACGAACTTTTTCAGAAAAAAAAATTTTTTTTCAGAATGTAAACGTGTAAACAAATAAAAAATTAAGTTCATTTTTTTCAATGGTATTGAAAGGTTAATAAGATCGTGAAATTTTCTTAATATTTAAACGCTAAATATTTAAAGAGAAATTTACCAAATCTATAGATATTTATACACTTATGGAAATCTTACGAAGCAAACATCGTAAAATCTTAATCTTAATTCCATCTTGTATTTTAAACTTTTTTCCCTTTATTATTAAAATGCGAATAAACACGAGCGTTAATCTATAGCGTCGAACTTGTTATGCTAAAAAAAAAGTAATGAATAATTTATATGTTCGAGTTTATAAAAATTCAGCAAAAAATCAGCTCGAACTCGCTTCGTAATCATAATATAATATACTTATTTGATGCTATTTTAAATACACATTTTAGAAAAACATCTATCAATATGGATATTCGTCCACTGCGATTAATAGAACGAGAGAGAAAAAAAAAAAAAAAAGAAAAAACAAACAAAATTTTCTCAAATTCAAATTTCGAAGAAATTCTCTTAATTTTTATTTTTACATTCTCGATCTCGTTTCGATCCAAATATTTCACGAAGCTAACGATATTGCCTCCGGATCATAAATATTCATTCGAGAAGTGTTCATCGATCATCGACGATTCCACGCGATTTACACAGCAACGACAAAAGAAAGGAGAAGAAAGCCAAGAGGCCGATGATTTTTCGCGCTGATTCATTTAAAATCGTCCTTACTATAGCCCCCGCATTTTCGCCCCATCAATTATTCTGTATCCGAGAGGGGTTGGCCGTTCGAAAGGGCATTTCCTCCCATCGAAAGCATCGTAAATACAACACGCGTGATCGTAAAATTCCCGTGGAACAACGCAGTAGGCAAGAGAACCACGTGAAAATGTCCATTTTATACTCGCCTTTCCCGTGCGTCGTACACGTGAATTCATTTCCGTGTCGTCCAATAATTTTCAATTCGTTTGAAATATTCCCTTGCATATTCCCGCGTCCAAACGCGCGATTTTCGCTTTTTCGTCCGTCGGATTAAATATCCATCTTTCTCTCTCTCTCTCTCTCTCTCTTTCTGTGTTTGCAATTTTTTTCTTTTTTTTTTTTCGTAGCTCGCGAATTTATGGTGATGGTAAAGAAAATATTAAAAAAAACGCGGTGCTTTGCAATTAGAGAAATTTGTATTCGTAACGATTCAATACAAGAATTGAATGTGTTGTTGTGAATATATTTGAAAATAAGAAAAATTGTTTTTTTCGAAAAATCGTTATTTTTCTCTCAAGTGGATTGCGTTAAGAATGAAGGTTGCTATTAAAAGATGATAAAGAGGGAGAGAAAGGGAAAAATGATAAAGAGTGATAAAGGATTACATCTCTTAATATTGAGAATTAATCTCTCAAAAAATTTGAATCAATCTGCACAAAAATTCGTTATCGTTTAATTAAAATTTAAATTATCTCATAGGAATTTTAAAAGGGGTATAAAAAGTTAAACCACTTCAAAAATTTTGAAAAGAATTCCCAAAAAATTCTTTAAAAAAAATTATCGCTTCAAAATTTTGAGTAAAAAAACTCATGAATTTCATGTTTGCATTTGCAGGGAGGACTGAAAGCGGCCATCCTCTCAGACGTTATACAAGGTTTGACCATGATCGGTGTCTCGCTCGTGATAATCGTGAGAGGCTCCGCTGATATCGGCCCCAGTCAAATTTTAAACGTGACGTATGAACGTGGCCGATTGGATTTTTTCGAGTAAGTGTAAACATTGGTCGAAGCTAAATGCTTGGATTAGAGTGACGTGGAATCCTCATAACACGTTTAGATTGGATATCGACAATCTTTATTGGCTTAATCGAGACATTGATCCAAGTTTCACGTGAAATCTAGGCGAGATTTAAATCTGAGTTAAATGAAAGTGTTCACGTGTTATTATATCATTAATATTTACCTCGATCCTACTATTATTTCATGTATCCTAATATTACTATACTTTCTTATTTACAATATATTCTTATTTATCATTTCAAAATATTTGAGATAATTAAAAAAGTTTAATAATTTTCCTCGTGTCATTCACGTTTAAATAAATATATACAGATTGTTTACAAAGAATAATGGCGAAAATGCAAACAGAAAAATGTTTGTTTTCTAATTCAATTTAATTTCTAACAAATAGCATTAATATCATAAAAATTTCTCCTATCCTATTTGTGCATATAACATTACAGAAATATTTGTATATCTTTAAATACAAAGATTTTTCTTATTTGTAATCTTTCCATTGTATATAGATTCTTCTAATTTCCATTTAAAAGATAAAAATAATTTGCATCCTGAAAGAAACTATTATATAGAAAACTTTAATTAAGGAAGGGGAAAATAATTCTGAACAATCGATTTCAAATGCACGCAGAACAAGATTACCGGATACTCATCGCGTAGCTTCCAATTCAATACACTTGTGCCACGAGACGATACAAAGTACAAAGAACAAAGTAAACCTTCGATTTAAAGAAAAAAAAAAAAAAAGACATTTCCCAAGTATTTTCATTAATTTCGTAAAATTTTGAAAAACAAGAAGATTATAGATCAATTCCTCGCAAATTAATCGAACCGATCTCTCGTTTCAGTATGAATTTCGATCCCACACTTAGAGTGACGACTCTGTCGGCAACTCTGGGTCAATTATTCATGAGCCTGTCCATCTTCGGTTGTCAGCAGAACTTCGTGCAGAGATATTGTAGCATGACTAGCGAGAGGAAAGTGATCAAGTGAGTATATAATTTCTTTTATCAAATCTTCCTAAATCAAATTGAAAATTTAATAATAAATGAAACTGCAAAATCGATTTCATCCGGCTGGATATAAGATGGAATTATTAATGGAAATGATTGATATGGGTATACGTACGTACGATGATGTTTCTATCTCGATAAAAATCAAATTAATTTCGCGGGTAAACCACCCGTATATTTCTCGTAATTGCGAGAACATTGAAAAATTGGAAACCCGTCATTTTGACGTATTTCGTACTTTTATTGTTAACCGTGTTACCTCGCATTTTCGTAATAATTTAGCGAGGAATAACGCTCGGTGAAATTACACGGCTCGCGGCCGTATCTCGCGGTGAAATTTCGAAATTTCTGGAACCATTGATTCCCCGAAATCTATCCCTGGTGTTTCTCGGCCGAGAGAAAGAAAAAGAGAAAAATATTAGACGGTATATTCGAGAAGTTTGCGGAATACAGAAATCGCTTGTGTACGCTATGACTTCGAGGCATGCATGATATTAGCATTTTACGCGACTGATATGTAAATAAGTATCGTGTAGATAACATTACGTGTTACGAGATTCGATATATTTAAACGTAGAAGTGATTTTTCAATAAACGATTTGTGTATTAAAAATCGATAGGAAAGAGTTTGCATAGATATTTTAAAATCTTGAGAAACAATGATTCTCGATCTTTTCATTTTATAATGAGTAATCATTTTTCTTCTTTTCTACATATGAATTTTGATTATATACTAAAAAGATTGCCTTTCCTTTACAATTCAATTATAAATAAAAAAAAATTATACCAGTATTTTTAATAAAGTTTTCTGAAATGATAGTTTGTAACCCTTTATTCAAACGAAAATAAATTTTTGGACGAAAAAATTTTTCTAGAAAACCAAAAAAAACATTTTGCTGAATTTCGTTGACCTAAATTGCTTGTGATATCATTAAAAAAAAAAAAAAATGATCGAGATAAGAATTAATTGGATTAATTTCTTACGGCCGCCATTGTTGCCGCCATTGTTGACCCCTTAGAGCGGCTTTCCGCCAAGCAATCGGAATTATCATCGACCACGTCTCTCTACGAAGCGTGAAGGGAGAATATGTCTTGTATCCCAGAAATAAAGTAAGAGGGGTGTGAGTTGAAAGTTTGCGGATCACTTAGTCGACGTGTACACGAAATCGACTGTTTTCCCTCGAGCTAGAAAGACGAAAGGAGGGAAATCCTTTCGAGAATGATCTCAAAGAAACTCTGTCCGATTGATCGTGTCTACTTTTTCTTTCCGCTTTTTACTCGCTCCTTTTATTTCTTTTCCTCCGAATTGAGACAATTGGCGGGATCATAGTGATATTGATCGCTGTATAAAACATTTTAGAGAAATTAATTATATGAAGTTTTATACGAAGCTTGAAATAACTTTCCTTGTTTTATATTCTCTTATTTTAATAGATTTTAAATTGGAATAGTAACAGTGAATTTCATGATTCTCAATCTTCCAATTGAGGTACCCATTAATTAAATCCATTTCTTGAAAAATATATATTGTTAAGTGTTTAATAAAAATCAAATAATTAACTTTGATGGAATTGTGCAGTTTAGGTTATGGTGTGGTTCAATTGACGATTGGCATTTCAATTAAAAGGTCAATCACGTGCGCAATATGAATCATCATCACGCTTGCTAGAAATTATTCCTGCTTGACGTTTATCTTACTAGATATTATTATTATTATTATTATAAGCTGACTATGAGTCGCGTGTCTTTCAATGATAACCATTTCACTTGATTATATAAATTCTTACACTTATCTAATCTTCTTTTACTTGCGATTGATCGGTCTTTATCCTTGTTTATCAAAATTAAGAAAAAAAAATTAAGAAATAAATAACGGTTCCATTCGATTATCGATTCCTCCTCGTATTTTATCGAAACAATTTAAGTGAATTTTAATGACGTGTCTTACAATTAACGACATGACATTTAAATACGCGAAACGTATTTTTCATTTTTCGTTCAGAACCATTGGAACAGTTGGAAAAATGTTAAATAGTATCGAGACGTTCGTCGTTTAAAAAAAACCACATCTCGCTCCCCTTTTATAACTCACATGACGCAATAACTCCGTTTTTCATGGACGATGAACACCTACGATGAAAAGCAGACTGAAAGTAATTTGCGAACTTCTTTTCGTCCTTCCACTGAGGATAAAAGTTAAATCTTTGAATGATTCGAAACGAAGAAACCATACATCCTGTCGATTCCATTTAGTAAAAAAAAAAAAAAAAAAAAATTCATTCATTCAAAACGTGAAAAGATTGACGTACGAATTCAAGAAATATCCATATTTTATTTATTCAGCTTTCGAAATATTATTAGTCAGAAATCGCGGGAGATACGAAACTCTTTCGCGAAAAAATATTAACTCAGCCATTTTAAAAGGATTTAGACAAATAAAATATGGATAATTCTCCGCAGAAAAAATATCACTTCAAATTTTACGAGTTTAATATTCATAAAGTACCGAACAAAAATATACGCATACTCTGCTAGTGACGTTTTCTTCGTAAATCTCTATTCTGAGAATTTTTTCCTCCAACATTTTTGTCAAAATGTAATTCTAGAGTCTAAAGTTATTTAATAAAGGGCTAATTTTTAGAGAAACTAAATATCACTACATATAGATACTATTTTATAAAGGAAATAGAGTTTTGAAATAATATTTACATAATGAAATATAATATTTCAAATGTGCATAAATTGTATATCCTATTTTCGAAACCAAATGTAAATAGGAAATAATATTTTACTTAAACGTGAAATAATATTTGATTTAAGCATTAGATATAATAATATTTTGTAAATTCTAAATTTATGCAAAATATATAAATTTTTAGAATTTTATCTAAATAAAAATATTTCAATCTATTTTGCATTACAAATAATATCGTACAGTTTAATATTTTACACTTGAATTCTAGAATTATATTTTCGACAAAAAATTAGAGGGAAAAATCCTACGTTGCAAAGAAGAAAATTACAGCGTGCCAATACTTTTGTCCGGCTCTGTATACTCGTCTCTTCGCATTTTACGAATGAAATCTCCAATTAAATCTTGTACAACCAGAGATTCGAGCGCGAAAAGATCTCGTTTGAGGTTTAAACGAGTCGGACACGCGAAAACCTTTGGTGCCCCTCGCGTGTCATTGTTTCTAGATAGAGAGAAAAGAAAAAAAAGAAAAAAATACGAAACAAATTAACAACCGATTCCAAAGGCAATTTATCCCTTTCGGGATAACGTAACGCATCGACGAGGACAGGACCGTTTTATTAGTGCATAAATTCGAACAAACGAAGTGTCGGTACGGCCGCGATAAAAACCTCGGCCCGAAATGGACTTTTATTAGAATATAATCGCAGTCATGGCTGCGTTCTCCACTCTCGCGATAAAAATGTTTCATCGTATGGATTTTTATTAGGGTATATAACAGCGCGCGAGCGGGCAAAACTACCGACGATTTGTCGTTTTATTACACATTTTTCGAGGGCCGTTGATAAAGTTTAGAGAATGGAAAAAAGAATGAAAAAAAAAAAGAAAATTGACATTGCTGCTTACTTACGGAAAAATTCGAACGAAATTTTGAGATAATCGTTCGAAATTGTTTTAAAAATTTACGATATATTCTGTATCTTTCCCTCTCTCTCGGCATCCGATTGAAATTCTATGGAAAATCGGTATCGAACTGTCGTGGAATTAAGAGAGTTTCAAAGTGTCCTAAAAAGTTTCGCGAATTGGACTCCGTCTCTTTAACTCGGCTGAACAGATTTCCACGCGGTCCATCTTTGGCCGAGATGCCTTTCGATTCGCGAAATTCTCTCCGCACTACCCTTTACCACATAATCAATGAGTCTTTCGGCTGGCACCCACGGTAGGGTCAAATGGCAGCAGGCCAAACTTTTAACGGTAGATACTCCCTCCTCTGGCTAAGGTGCTCAACGTTATCGAGTCGACCTCGCGTGTATCTAAGAACGACATACGTTGTTAAGATCGAGCAGCGAGAATAGAGTTTAAGTGTATATTTCGTATTTCAATGAAAAAAGAAAAAATATAATATGCATGTTTCAGGACTATGTTGGCCAACATCCCTATAATCTTCGTCCTGTTCTCCCTCTCCTGGGTGGTTGGAATGGTAATCTTCGCCAACTACGCGGACTGCGACCCCCTGTCGCTGGGATACATCTCAAAATTCGACGAGATCGTGCCGTTCTACGTGGAAGATAAATTCCTCAACTTTCCAGGCTTATTGGGCCTCGTAATGGCTACCTTGTTCAACAGCGCCCTCACCATGGCTATGTCTAATCTGAACTCTCTCGCCACGGTCACGTTCGAGGACTTCTTCGGTCAAATACCCTCGATGAAGAACTTGAAAGATAAGCAACAGTTGCACCTGATCAAGCTGATCAGCGTTATCTACGGTATACTGATAATAGGAGTGAGCTTCCTCATCGCAATGCTATCGGGAGTGATCGAGTCGTCCATGCTGATGACGTCGGCCACCTCCGGCCCCCTGCTCGGCGTTTTTCTACTGGCCATGCTCGTTCCTTGCGCCAACTGGAAGGGTGCCGCGGCCGGGATGATCTTCAGCCACGTGACCACTTTATGGATCACGTTCGGCCACCTGACGGTCAGCAACAACGTGGAAACGTTACCTCTGTCAACCGAGAACTGTCAGAACGACACGTTCTCCCCTTGGATCACCAAACCAGCCAGCATACCTTATCTCACGGCCAATAACTCGTACGAAAATGGACCGTTGCTTAGGAACGGAACTGACGAGGAAATGGCGGGTATAGGCCCTATCGAGTTCTTGTACAGCATCACGTATATGTATTACGCGTTCATAGGAAGCATGTCGACGGTGATCGTCGGTGTTATCGTGAGCTTGGTGACAGCCGACCCGAAAGGAGACATGTACGAGGAGCATCTCCTTCACCCTCTCGCGGTGAAGATCTCCAGATTCTTCCCGGGAAGGCGGAGATTATACGCGAGCAGCACGCGGTTGCAGAACGAGCAGAACGGGGCGAACGCGACTTCCTCGTCCTCGGTGACCTCGATCGCGAATGGCGTGGAAAAGACTGCCACTCTTCAGGGGGTCGTCGATGATGGCGGGAACCTTCGTATCGACGTCGGTTACATAGAGAAGCTGAACGCCCTCAAGAACGTCTCGCTCGACGTGACCAACGAGGTCAACAAAGGGACGAGGCTTTGAGGAGGCTCTGATATTCTTCGTTCCGAGTAGAGATCACCGGAGTCTCGAAGATTTGTCCGAGAACCGAGGCTGATTCCAAAATATTTCATATCCGAGTGTCCAACGTTAACTAACTTATCTGGGTGATATTCTTTCTTTTTTAATTTCGTCGATCGAGGTCCTATGTTGGTAGTATTACAGGCGATGATGCTGAAATGTAATCTTTTTAGTAATAGTTTTCATCGATTTCGTATAGAAGTTTTCACGTATATCTTTAATTTTTATATTCAGAATTGGCGAGCGAGCGATTTTACAGGGTAGACGGTAGTACAAAGTCGTAGGCTTCGCTGAGCCACGCGTTGAGACGCATACGCGTGATTACTTGGCCTTACCACCGTACACTTAATCAGAGTAATTATGTTAAGTAGAGATTCCAAGAAGAATTAGTGTCTCGGTATCGAGAACTGAAATCCGGTTCATGCGAACGAGTCAGCTTTCTGTAATTGCAGATTAAAAACGATGGCATTTATCAGTGCACGTAGAACTGCAGCTACTTTGTTGATTCGATTGTCTCATCGTGTCTCATCATGTCTCATCATGTCTCTCCTTATCTTAGAGATTATCTTGATTGTTTCACATTGTTTTTCGACTGACGAGTTTCACTTTGATTCACGCGAACTTCGTACATTTAATGTAGTTCCATGTAAAAATATATATATATATATGTAATACTTCGTGGAAACAGCCAGTCATTTGCGAATTTCGATTCGCAAATTTGCCACAAGAACTCTGTACGTTATACGTACACACGCATGTAATACTCATTGTCTCAAGTCAGGAACGGAATCGTGGATTGTTTGTGATATTCGTTTAGAAAATTCGATTATATTTGGACGAAAATTTAAGACGTAATCAAGATTTTAAAAGAATTTAGACAAATTTTGATTCAATCTGTAAATACCGCGATGAATATCTTTTTGTACATATCAATTTTCATTTTTGTTTTAATTTTTATTTTTAAATTTTCTATTCCTATTTCGTCGAAATATATTATGTAACAATAATACGAGAAATGTTCCTTATTCGCGTTTGATTATAGACGAGGGAAAGTGATCTTTGACATTTGATATAGAAACGCTTTCACCGGTGGCTTTCGTCTCTCCGATTCCGTTCCTGCATTAGTTTGTAACGAAAGTATTGAATCGTGATAAGATTGTGAGATATCAAGCGGATGTTAATGCGTCCGTTGCGCAAGATTTCTTAAAGGTATGAGTTTACGTTTTGCGACAAGTATGATTCACTATGCAAATGAAAGAGGCGTGTGATGACAGAGCGCGAGTACTATTCGCGTAAATTGTACATTGAGTGTGCCTCCGTTACTCGCGGAGCTTCGTCTCTACGTTATTGTAAGTTTTATATGTCATAGATTACGTTATTTTTGTAACATATAGATATAACAAATATAATTGCGTTAGATATATGTATATCAAGTATCGAATAGATCTGTACGAAATATTGTGAATATTTATTTTTTTTTTCTTCTCTTTTTTTCTTTTTTTTTTTTTTTTGCACAAATATATCGCGTTTTTTAAGTGTTGTGTTGAAAATTGACGTTTCATTTTTTCATCCATTACTCTGTTAGTTATATCAATTCATCGAAATTTTTTAAATTGCGCGCGTTCTGTCCGAATTTTTCCTCTAGTTTAATCGATAATATCGTTCCGCTCGGTCGATAACCCGTGGTTCAGGAACGATGCCCTCAATCAGTCAGCGAAATCATTCCCAGTTCCGATTATAGAGGAAAGATCTATCATTTTGCAAAATAAAAATCTGTAGCTATACGTACATTCATCAATCAGAAATTCACATGTCTCGACGTGTAATCGCGTTCGAGATTAATCGATGATGTCAATCGATCGATTAGATAACGTTATTACCTGTCGTTTAAATTGCTTCGACGTTTCCTTCAACACTTTTCGAATCGCGTTTCAATGCAAAAATTACAATGAAATGTGGATTCATATCGAAAATCGTCTTGGATTAAAAATCAATCATGTAAAGAGAAAGAGAGAAAAAGAGGATAAAAAATCGAACGACTTCATCGTTCTTACTTTTAGGAAATTTCGCGTTACAAAATCTATAGACCGTGTCACTTTCAACAAATGTAAATTTGCAAATTTATGAGAAACCAGAGCCAAGAGAATGGCCATAGAATCTCTTCGTAAAGATTGGAGAATATAATCGAAATTGGATGCCTTAAAATTTTACTATAATTCCTGTCTATATATAATATAAAAGTTAAATCACGTCATACGAAAGTTAGATCGTATGAATACGGTATAAAGTGATGCTATAGAAAATGTGATTCGAAGAGTTACGTTTTCTAAAGCAATGTTTCCCGATTCTTTTTTGAGTCATGACCCTATTTCGTAATAGCAATTTTCTTTCATCCTGACTTGCATAAAAAGAATATTTTTCGTAAAGTGAATATAATATTTTTTAGAGAATGAATCAAAACTTGGAAAAAAAAAAACGTATTAAAAATCTGTTATAACAAAAATAATATAACCTATTTAATATATAATTTTTCTTAAATCTTAAGTTTAGGCTAAAAACCGATTTACATCTTATTTTAATGTAATTAAAATGATTTCGTAAATGTAATAAATATGATAATTGTAATAAAAACAATAAACAAATTCTTATTGTAATAAAATAAGAATTATCAAAATTTCATTTCTTATTATAATATACTATGAATGTTTATGCATTTAAAAGAAATTTAAATATATAAAATAAAAAAACTTATTATTTTTTATTGTTTTGATGAAAATACAAATTTGCATAATCATCCACAGTCTAATAATGATTTATATATTCCTATCTCATCTATATTAATATATGCAAACAATTAATAAAAGATAAATTACTCACATGACCTGATGACATTGTACACTGTTAATAAAAATTCTCAAGATGTGTCAATGAAATCCCATTTACGAAATAAAATAATCAACGACGAACAACTAAGAAACACTAGAACAAAAAGAAGATGGACGCAGTGTGAGCGAGAATCGATATCCAGTGTGAAGTAGACAGCAAAAAGCAATAGTCGATTGTCGTTGTTCTTCCTTCCTCAGTATTTCGGTCCTTTCGGTGTCTCGCGTCGTGTCGAGAGACGTCTAAGAACGTCACGATTTTCTCCACCTTCTACACGATTTTTTAATCGTGATCCACGCACAGTTTCAATCCAATCCCTTCGAGGGATCCAGTGACCAATAGAAAAATCATTATTGATTTTGAGAAGAGGATAATTTCTAGAAAGGATACGTCGTAGCTACAGTATACATCATGGCGGTAGAATCGAGGTAAAACGCGCGAAGCGATGAAACGATGTATTGTGTAATTGTGTATAAAGGTTCATGTTTCCTTGTGGAATCGTTAGCTCGATTGGCTTCGTGTAAATTCGGCGTAGTTCGGCTCATCTCGAGAAACCGCCATGTTTTACTTTTAATTTTATGAAGACGAACGTTATTTTAAATTTTTTTGATATCTTTTAGTGTTTGTTGAATATTTCTTGTGAAGAATAAATATTTTTCTGAAAGAAGTTTGGATTGATTTAAATAGATAAAGTAATGTAAGTAAATATCTTCTATTATACATATTAACACTAAATTTATCAATTATAAGTATGTGCTTATACATCTGTGTCATTATATATTGATTATATATTGACAAAAGTTAAAGAATTTTATCCTATTATGAAAATAATTATATCTGATTATATATTCTCTTTGAATAAGGACTAATGTTGACATGTTAATTTTATCAAAAATACTTATGTACTTTATATAATTAAAAAAACAAAAGATTTGAAACCAGTTGACGTAAACTTAATAATTCTAGTATTAATTTAAATTGAATTCATTCATGAATACTAATAGATTCATATTATTTTGCTTCTTTTAAAAGTAATCATATTGATCATAAATCACTTGACAATGACTTGATACTTTTATATTATAAGGATAGTAACATAATTATTAATCATTGTCTCTTTTTGTATTCTTCTTGTTTTTTTGATTACTTTGATACTTATCAAAATATTTAGTATATATTTAGTGTATTAGGCATATTTAGTATCTTACTAAATATTCTAACTTTCTATTTTAATTAATATAATTTTTTTTTGAAAAGTTTATATCTATCAAAAGTTATTTCCCATATTATTATATATTATATTATATATTATATTATATTATATTTCTATTTTATATTATATTCTATTTTATATTTATATTTATATTTATATTTTATATTTCGTATTATATTATATTTCTTTATAAAGGTGCGCTTTTACACATTTCAATCATTAATATAATTTTTTACAATTAATATAATTTTTTTTTTAAAAGTTTATATCCATTAAAAGTTATTTCCCATATATTTCTTTATAAAGGTGCGCTTTTACACATTTCAATCAATATTGCAAAATATATATTAAATAAATATTATGTGAAAAATAAAATGATCATATGAATCTCAACATAATTTCGAGTTTTGCAACAAGAAAGCAAAAATTTTCATAATATTCAGATAGCAATATTTGAAACTTAGCTCAGATCAAATATATTGATCAAATTTCTGCATATTTGTGCATGATAGAATTCAAGAGGCGTGTCTGGTGATTGATAACGAAAATAAAGGACCAAAAAATTACGAATTGTATCGCGATTTAACACGTCCGTCCCCAGGGGGGTGAACTGGTTCTCGAACTCGTGAAAAGACGCCCCTATGGCCGTGAATCCGCGAAAATAAGCCAACAGAAACTTTCTTCTTACATATAACTGCACCATGCAAGGATTCGAGTATTCCTCAGTGAAAACCTTCTCTTCGTGAAATTTCCTTCGACGGTAATACCAGTTTGAAAGCAGAGTTTCTAAACTCATTCAACTTTTCGTTAAAAAACATTCAAGGTGAGGGTGTTTAATGTTTTTGAGAAAATTGAGATTTTGTATTAAAGAAAGAAGGAAAACGATGAGAAACAAGGCAAATTTATCAGGATACGGAAAGGTTTTCAAAAGTTAGTGGAGGTTGTGTGTTTCACGATAAATCACGGATTCGTGGGCGGAACCGCAGTGATTTCGAAACCACGTGAGATCTCAGAGATTCGTATCAAATTGCTTTTGGCTTTTTGGAACCCTCGTTTTTATATCGAATTCCTAGTGCAATCATTTCGAGAAATGTTTCCTTTGCTATATGTAATTTATCAAAAATAACGAAACTATTTTCTTCAATAAGATATCTTTATTAAAATAATTACTTTATATTAATAAAGATCTAACTTTTGAATCATAACAAATCCTACTATATTGTAAACGACTCTAGCTCTCGAAACCAAGAAAATCGTGTTCCAGAAAATTACCAAGAGAAAAATTTCAAGAGAAAAGCTACGCCATTCTTTCTCACATCCATTTCATTTGAGATTATCCAAGATCCTAGATAAATCTCTATTCTTAAATCTAATGCTCTGGATATTTGCCACCTCGGCCTTATATTACAACTAAACTGCAAGATTTTCTTAACTCCACGCCTAGTTACCTAAATCTTCCTGATATTCGTGTCCTGTCGATAATATCATTTTAATGTATAGCAACCAATCGAAATGCTGTTGGATAATCGATTAACGATCGGATGATAGTGATACGCGTCCCACAATGACTGTAATCGTTGGCTAATAATTATCGACGAATCGAGAATGAGCTAGGACAATTAATGGCACGATTAACAAGTGATGATGATGATTTCGTTTCAGATGGATGCCATGTCAACTGAAAATCGAGCCGAACATCTGCAGCTGCGACTACGATGGCATAATCCTGGTGTCAGGATGCGCGCCGGGATACGACGAGCCCGAGCCTTTCAAAACGGTTCTGTTCAGCGCTGCCCAGATCGATTCCGCCCTGGGCGTAATCGGTGCGGTTTTGCCCATCAATTTACCCGCGAAAAGGCTCATTTACAGTCCGACCGGCCCGCTCAACATGGATTACCACGATGTGCGGAGCTTCGCCGAGGCGGCCACTAAGGGTGTAAAGAGGTACGATTCAATTAATATTATCTCTCTCCCTCCCTCCCTCCCTTTCTCTCTCATTATATATATATACTAACTCTTAAAATTTTGAAATTATTTTTCCAATTGCAATTACATAATCGTATGCTAACTTTATTATTGATTAAGAATTAACGTTAATAAATATCGATATTAATTGTAATTATAATACATTTATGTTTTAGAAAATTTTAACGCAATTTTTTATTAAATTCGTGAATTTTTGAAATAGGTTTAGTGAATATAATCTAAGAAGTTCAAAAACAATCATTTTTATTTAATTTTAATTTAATGTAAATGCATTTGTTTTTTAATCATGCAAAATCATAGAATCGTGTTTTCTAAAATATTTAAAAATCGTCAATAATTTTTTAAATCATTATTATTGTTATTTAACTTCCAGTACGGAATTA